AGCATCAGCCCGATATACAGCAATGGACTTGTTCGCCAAAACTTTCGACGTCTCAACTTCCGCTTTAGCCTCAGCAAGTCCTATTTCAAGCTCCTCGATCCTCTTTGCTTGAACCGACCCCTTTTGCTTGACAATTCGAAGTTGAACATCGGCCGATAATAATTTCGTCAAGATGGTTTCTTTTTCCGCTGCCAGGCGGTCGAGGTTCTCCTTCCACAGATTGCATTCAGCTCGGATTTGGTCGACTTCTTCTCGAAGTAACCCGATTTTTTCGATCTTTTGCTGCAACTGAGACAACGAAGGGTTAACTTCCACGGTTAAGTCAGACCCATACTTTAACAGAACGAGGCTCACTTGCTTATCGAGCTCGACCCCTTCTTCACGGACCTTAGCCAAATCCGTTTGAAGATCCTTTATAGCCTCATCCTTTTGGCTGCAAAGAAGCCGCATGGCATCTCTCTCACCTGAGACCTTCCGTAGCTCGGCCTCACACTCGCTAAGATCGACTCGAAACCTAATAATAGCCTGCACAGTAAGAAACAGGAGTCAAGTATGGAAAAGAACAGAGAAACCAAGTATGAAAAAATCATTACCCGAGTAATAAAATGCTGAGCCTCCTCTAATAAGAGAGAAGCATCACCGATATTGGAACCATCGTAGACCCCAGTAAAACAATCCCTAAAAGGATCCCCTGCACCAGAGCCAACGCTGATATCAGGAGTCTTCAACTCTCGAGCTTCCTTCAACACCTCCTCAGAAAAAGACGGAAGAGAAGGCGAATGACCCATTGTCATAGCCCCAAGCAAATCACTCGGAGCACTCCGGTCGAGACTCAGGTCTTCGAAACCAACCCTGACAGGCACAGCCGCTATCGGCTCGGGAGCTCTAGAAACCTCGATGGCCTCCGTAGATCGAATCACCAAAGCCGAAGAGCTATCTTCTTCTCCTTTTTCTCTTAGTCGTTGGACCAAGGCTATCGAAAGGGCGATTGTTTTTCTCCTCACCCTTCGAGTTTTGGGCTTCGGGTCCTCTAACTGAGAGAAAGCTCTTCGCTTCTTATCTTTCCCCTGTTCGAGAACCAGGGACTTATTTCCTTCTTCACCGCTCGAAGGCCTCAGAACGGCATCCCTGGTTACGCCTGCACGAAAGAAAATCGGTAACAAAAAGAAAGTGAAGAACACTTCGAAGAAAGAAGGAAGCAAACCTCACCGTGATTCTTGGCCTCCCATCTGCCTTTTGCCAAATCACGCCAACCGCGTTCGGCATAAGAGGAGCTCGAGGCTAAATTCCGAACCCAGTCCCCGAGGTCAGGCACTGCTTGTGGCATCCATGGGACAGCTGAACATCGGGAAAAGACATTAGAAAAAATCAGAAAAAAGACATGAAAGGTGAACGAGAATCACTTATGATCAAAATTCCATTCTTCAGGGAACGGCATCTTCTCCTCCGGAAAAATATCACGGGTCCTCACTCGAATATATTGACCCATCCAACCTCGATCCTTGTCTTCATCGATGCTCGACATCAAAGCCTTCGATGCTCGAGGATGAAGTCTAGTTAGTCCTCGAAAAATCTGAGGTCGGTACAGTCGTATAAGGTGGTTCAGAGAAAAATCCAACCCCCCGGCTTTGATAGAGAAGAAGCGCAACAAGATCATTATACGCCATAAAGAAGGATGAATTTGGCCAAGAGTGACCTGATATCTTTTGCAGAAATCAATAATCACCGGGTCGACGGGTCCCAATGTGAAGGGATAAGTATAAACACTTAAAAACTCCTCCACATAAGCAGTGACGCTCTCATCGGAGGATGGAATTTGCAACACAACCTCGGAACCCCAGTTGCAGTCTTTCCTGACGGCCCCGAGATGATCCTCCGTTATAGAGCACGCGTACATCGATACGTGCTCATATCGACCCGGAACGGACGAAGGATTCTCCACCCTAAAATCGGTCTTCAAAATACACGGGCCAGGAACATAGTCGTGAACGGACGGTTCCGCCTGCGCCTTGTCATCAAACGACCGTGAAGAAGAAGCTTTCTCCTTCTGAGGTACGATTTTGGAAGTTTTTGCCATTGATATGAGAGGAAAGAATGTGAAGGAAGGTGAAAAGATGGACAGTGCCAAAAACCCTGTATGAGCGGCCCTGAAGTAGCGAAATAGAGAGAATAAATGAGAGATATTGAAAGAAGAGAAGGCGCAAAAGTGGTATAAGTTGCATGGAAAGACTATTTATAGGCTAACGCATGACGATTCGGTATTAGCGGTGGCCGACCACCGTCTGACACGCATTAAAAGCCTCGATAAAACCGAGCCGATGGGACAGTTATCACATACGTCATGATCGGGGTCGATAGAAACGTCGACATAAATTTGATCGAGCCGTAGAGAAATCATATCGTTTCTCGCCACATCCTTTCCGAGAAACGAGGGGACTATCTGTGTACGGTCAAAACCGATTTTCGGTCATAAAGACTGACCGAAACGATGACGTCTCGATCAAAGGGTATCCACATAACCAGCTCGGACGAATTCCGAAGTAAGGGCATCGAGTTTCTAGCTATAAGATCGATCGACGGCAAAACTCGGTATTATTATCGAGCCCGTATCCGAATCGAACTACGAAGCAACTCCGACCGGCACAGGCCCCGAATATCGATGCCCCAAGGCAGAACGGGCTCGAACCAAGACCAGGGGTTCGACCTAACACCAAGCCCGAGCCAGCACCGAGTTCGCCGACAAAAGCCATTATAACTGCACCGGGGGAGAGATCTTGGCAGGAATCAAGGAAGAGACAAATCATCATGGGTCATCCACTATATTTATTATTTTATTATGTTATTATAGATAAAGTAGTGATCCTCTATTATAAAAATGGACATAGATTGCAATAGACTCATCCTCCCCAAGATACATCAAGAGTTCATGTTGCTCATTGAGCCTTCCTATTGATTATTCCCATTTTATAGCAAAATACCGGTATTGTCATTTTTGTATCCTAAGCAATTTACGTATCCTTAGAATCACACCTAAATTCAACGTTTCCCGATTTTCGGGTAAACACCTAGTATTACAGTACGTTCGTCTATTGAACTTATCTGATTATAGTGGCTTTAATAATATGTTGATTGCTCGAATTTACCGTTCTACAAAATTATGAAAATCAGTATTAAAAATGCTAAAAATAAATAGTACGTGTTGCAGAAAATTCAATTGAACATCATTTGTCAAAAAAGTATATTGTGCATAGAAGTCAAATATTACTCTCTCTATTATATATATATATATATATAAAATCTTGAATACGCTTAACAAATTTCCTTCCTTCGCTGCTTGATTGCGAAGAAGTATCTCAGACTAAAAGCCACCAAATTTTTGTGGTAGGGTATCACATTCCAATAACATTACCGATTTGAATTTTGAAGAAATACTTACAGAAACTGTACAGATGTACAAACGTGAAAGCCCCCACCAGTTGGTTCAGTACACACCATTAGCGAGCGTTCCGATCCCCACAAAACCACATAAACTATCCCTTCCTACCGGTACGGTCAGTCCTATTATATATATATNGCTTGTCTTCTACATTTGTTTGTTTTATAATTATTTGACTTATCGTATTAAGATTTGAGTTCGAAATTCAAATTCTTTTACATATAGTATCAGAATTGAGTTTTGATCATTTCGTGGTTGTCATTGTCTCCACCTATTCATTTGGAAGAGCAAAATAACATAAAGATGCGTCACAACATATCTAACATGTATTATATACTAGAGTAATTAGTACACTCTATTAATCCAACTTTTAAATTGATACACTTTGTTATTTAAGATAGGTCATATTTGTGTGACGGACTAACCCCAGAAAGTCTGTCAAACATTAAGCGATAGAGCCTAAACTACTAAAATCAATATCCAATCTCATGGGATGAAGGTGGGAATAAAAATTCTAAGAACCTGTTAAAAGGACAAGTTGACTAATTTGTTCGTGAAAACCAAGCAAGCAATCTCTCGTAATCCCATCACTCTGACCTGTACAATGAGCTAAGTAAAAGAAGACAAAATGTGAACAAGATTGATTTAATTTTAGTACTAAACGCTCTTTTCGAAAGACAAATCTCTTGTACTAATTCCCAACTGAGGGTACAAGGAGACCCTCCAACTCTAATATTTGGAATATTTTAGGGCAGGAAAGGAATGAAGAGACCAAACAAAAACAAAAGCAATAGAAAAAAAGGGAAAGAAAAGGAATAGAAACAGAGCCGGAATAATTGAAGTTTCAAAAGCAAAGCCGCACCTCGTTGTTGTGTCTCTTAAAAGCCAAACGATGAGAAAGTTTATGTGTCTGCTTTCCTCTGCCTCTAAAATATTTATACAAAGAGAAATTTCTCTTTCCCATCCCAAATTCCAAGGCATAAGTATATGCTACCCCCAATTCATATTGCTATCGCTATCCCTTTCTCAGTGTCTTCGCTCAAAGACAGTGCCTCAAAAGAATAATGGAAGTATTCCAATTAATGTACGTACGTTCACTAATTTAAATTTTAAGTTTATATATGTTACAAAAAAGAAATTTCTTACTACTGAATTTCCTGCCAATCAGACAAAATTTTAAATTTCCGCACAATTTGCCAAACAGCACGCGCATCACCATTTATTATACTGATGAGCCACAGACAATTATAGAAACGACGCCGTGGCTATCGCTTACCTCGAAAGCAATGAAACTGTCCCACCCCACTGCAAAAATCTCGAACCTCTAGCTTAGGCCATTGATTTTGAGTTGATATAAGCTAAGTTTTCGTGAGGGACCCCAAAAGCAACGTCTCTTTTTCCTCAGAAAGGCACACACGTGCACTCCTCCTTTCGAAACCTGTGCAACCTTAGGCATTATATATGCAATATTATTACATAAGTTTACCAAACGAAAACATTCATTTACATATTTGCAGCTGTCTAACATTAACATTTTTACCAACAAGTTTTATATTCCAATATGGAAAAAAGTAAAAGAGAACTTAATACACTTTCTCGTATTTTTTTCCACCTTTGAATTTCTTTGTACTTTTAATAATACATCAACCCGCGTATTTGTTTTTTTTTCTTTTTGGCTACCTTTATCAATTGTGCCCAAACAGAGGCATATACCAAACCCGAGGTTACGACAATCTAAAAAAGAACATGAAAAAAAAAAAAGGAATCTCGATGTTTGCCGGTAGCCTGTAAACCGATTCTATGATGATGACCGCGAACGAGTTACCGATTCAGCCAATTTCCCGATTCTTTCCGCTAACTCCGGTGACAGCTTCTTTGCCGGTTTCTTCTCCTTTTTCTCCGGTCGAAAATCAAACCCAAGCGCGTAAGAAACTTCTTCGGAGCTCCACCCGGCTTTACGGAGCGAATCCGAGAACCGATCCGCTTTCACCAAGAGAGCATCCAAAACTGCTTGATTATCCAACAATATCATTTCCCCTTCGAAGAATCCAGATGCTGAAACTTGTACCATCTCCTTTACATCCGATTCATCCCACCCCCCTTCTCTCAAAACAGACCCGATTTTATCCACATAATCATCGACCCATTTCGGCATTTCAGACTTTGGCATTTCGAAGTACCGTTCTGGCGAGGACGAACATGAAGACGACGAATTCGAGTTCCTACGCCTCCGATCTACGGCGGCGTCGCTCCAGAACTCCACCCAACGCGGCGTCCGACCACCGGAGAACGTATCGAGACTCCTTCGTGAAAAATTGGACGATGAACCAGCTGTTTTTTCACTTAGAGAGCGTTGTTTAGAGAGAATCTGAGGATCTGAACTTTGGTGGAACAGAGATGATTCACGATCAAAGAAATCTGATAAATCAAATCCGCAGCAGAAAATCCGATTCTCGTCCACGTAGAAAATAGGATTTCCAGCTAAAGAAGGATTACAAGGAATGTAACAATGGTTGAAAACGGGTATTAAAAGTGGAGCTCTTTTGAGCGCATTTCGAGCAATCCTGATAGCTTTTTCACGGTCACATGGCCTAGGACCCCAAGACTTAGACCACAGAGCATTACGAGCTATATGGAAAGAGATAGCAGCAATGGGTAGATCAATGGAAGCACGAAGCTGGAACCGGGCCGGACCAGTGGAGCGCCAATCAGGAAAACCGGGTCCGATGGGTAAACCGGCGGAGAGAACCGCTTTCAGGTCTGGTGGGAAAGCAAACCCGAACTCAGCTTCAGCTCTGGCGAACTCCACGTCAGATAACCCAGCCTGGACTTGAATACCGGAGGTCTTGAGGTGAGAGATGACTTTATCAGCAAGGGAGGAGAAGGAAAGGAGACTATTACGGGGAGGAACCGGAGTGGAGGGTGCTGCAGCCGCGGCTCTGGCGGAGAGACGGCGGAGGCCGGCTAAGTGAGCCGGATTCAGTCCGGTCATCCTCCGGTCTACGTCGACCATTATTGTGGTTTTCAAGTTCCGGTCAGAAAACAATTAAAAAGAGGACCGATTACTACAACAACAACAACAAATGGTAGTCTTTTAACAGAAACTGCGAAATGGAGCAAAAGCGAGTGTGTGGGAGTGGTGGAGAAGTGAAATTGGGAAAAAGGAGAAGTTGAAATTTTGGATCGTAAAGAAAGGTAAAGGATATTTATAGCAAGTTTCTGGAGTGGTGTCCCACTTTATAGATTTTGGAAATAGACCTCTATTTTGTTTTTATTGTTTTTGTATTTTTGTTTTGCCCTATACATCAAGAATTTATGGAAGTGCCACCGTAGCTTTAATTACGCCTTCGCTTTAATTAGTTTTTGAACTTCTCTATACCGTCCTACGAAGTATGGGGGTACAGTAGCAATTTACAAAAGTATCTTAGTTTCACAAGTAGGCACCTATTTTTTCTTTTTCTTGGTCCTTTCTAACAAGAGTGTGCAATTGTTTAAGAAAGAACAAGTTTAATTGCTTTCCTTCTTAATTTAGATATGTCATTTGATTTAGGTATGACTATTAAAATAATATAATTTTAATCTGTGTGAATAAAAATATATCCAAAGGTATAGATATGTTTACTTTAAAGAAATTCCAGTGTAATCTGAAATACAAGAGAATTTCAATATGTCTATTTGTAAATATAATTACTAAAGGTACTGATAAGTGTGAAGAGAATTATAGGAGATCAAGGTTCAATCCCAATAGAGGGAAAAAAAGTTAAAGTGATTTGACTAACTTAAAATATGGTAAAACATTTAATCTGGAGCATATGGAAAATATATTTCTAATAATGCATGGATCATGGAAATCCTCTTTTAATATTCAAAAATTATGTTTCACTATTTTATATTTACAAGATTACAAAATACAATAATTAATATCAGATATTAACTTTATAAAAGCCTAAACAAATTTTTTGAAATACTATCTTAATAAAGCAAGACGGAAAAAAATAAAATAAAATAAAACAAGATGGTGGAAACCATCCACATCTAGTGGGAAAGAAAATTACTGCATTGAGGTCAATACTAAAACTACCGCTATTTAAGGGGAACGGCACGTTGTCATGTAGAAGAGGACCTATTTTGTTGTCCACTTGGAATTCGATTTTCTTCAGCAACAAAAAAAAAGTCTAACTCAATACTTAACACTTAACCTTAAGCACTATTGGTTTTATTTTCCTTTTAAAAAAACATGTAAATACTTCATCTGAACTTATAATCCCTCCACTTTGTTGCTATCTTGCTAACATTACTACTCGTTACAATTGCTTTTTTTTTTAATCTTTCCTTGAACCGAAAATTTATTGAAAAATAATATTTCTATCTACTCAAGATAGCGATAAAATTCACGTATACACTACTCTCTTCAAATCTCACTTGTAGGATTATATTGAGTTTGTTATTATTATTATTGTATTACTTTAAGCAAAGAATGCCTTTAAAGAGAAAAGCTAATTGTATAGGAAAAAATACGACATGACACGTGGCCGCTTAAAGGAAGGACACGTGGAACAGAAGATGGGGATGGCCACCGAACATAGCTATTCCGCTTGTCACCTGAAGGAATAACGATTATAAAATGAGTATTAAATGCTTTGCGTTCGGTAACATTTAATACATAATATTTTGCAGCATTAAGGATGATGGCTCGTTACAAGGAATTTGGCATTTATGTATAACGTTACATCTTCATCAATGACCGTCATGATTGACATTAAAGAAGGACATGATCCTAGGACCTCATTTCCTAGACGTAGCTATAAATAGTGAGCTATGTTATCATTATAAGGGGATAAATTTCTTGGCTAACTTACACAACATTCTATATAGCATTTTAATATAATTTTACTTTCTCGCTTTTGATCTTATCGTTGTTGTACCCGGAAACCCTATTCCCAGACTCATTAGCTCTGTCGTTTCATCTACATTTAAAGACTAAGTATTTTATATTTTATCAGTTATTTCATTAATTTTTTGATCAAATTAATTCACTTGTCTAGAAACCACGAACAAATTCAATTGTACCGTTTTTCGGATAAACATTGATATTCAAATATTTTCTATAGTACGTGTATTATATTTATTGGGAGGTGGGTGGATATAGCGTTTTTGTGTTTTGTCGAGAAGTTGAACAATGAAAAGGTTAAGTTAAAAAGTACGGGTGATCGTCGGTCGGTACGATATGGTATTTAGATATTTCGGTTCGATATTTTCGGTATTCGATTTCGTAAAATGCTATACCAATACCGTACCTAATTAAATTCGGTGTGGTTCGGTTTTTCTCCTTTCAATTTTGGTTTATTCGATTCAGTAACTTCGATTTATTCAGTTTGAATACTAACTAGTGCATAGAGTCCTAGACGGTAATATTCTTAATTAAAGTACTCAAAAATACAAAACTAAAAACGTTTGTTGACAAAAGTTTTGTCCAAAACCAGCATATACCAATCTAGAGTGAGAAAATTTAGAGAAATATCTTGTTACTTGCTTAGAGTTAATTGATTAACTTAGAGAATAAAGGAAAGTAAAATTTTAGATTTCTTATACTTATGTTATAATTAATAAAATGTGTATTGTGTAATATAATATATATTTCGGTACGATATCATTATTTCTGTATTTCATTCTAAAATATCAAATACCATACCTAATACCAATTTTTTTTTTAAAACTTAAATCAAATACTATACCGAATACCAAAATATCGAAACCGAATACCAAAATTTTCGAATTCGATACGGTAATTCGGTATTTATCAAATTATGCACAGCCCTATTAAAAAGAGTGAAAATTAATGTCACGTGGTTTTCAGTTATATGATTACCACTTTAGCACGACTTAAAAAATAATGTAGTGAAGTGCCTTACTTTTAATTTTGTATTAAAATTGTGTCATTCCCAGAAAGAAAAAAATTTATAACAGTAACCGCTCAATCCGTTTTCAACGTTCTATTATAATAAGTCTATTTACATTTTTGGGCCCGTTTCATTTAAGTACGACTCAATTCTAACTTGTGTATACAAAGAAAATCGTTTCTAAATTGGGACAAATGATCAAAATAAATTACAATTAATGTATCACAACTTAGAACCACAAAGGATTTCTAAGTATATACATAAATAAATTATATCAATTCTGATGCACTAATTTAATTCTAAGTAGTGGATTTTTCTTTGCATAGCAACTACTAGTTGTCAAGGGTAAAGTAATAAAAGGAAATAACTTAGACCTTAAGGTGAATAAAGAGAAGAAAATAGTTGACTACATATATTAAAGGGTTAATTAAAGCGTAATTTTTTTTTTTTTTTTTTTTTTTTTTTTTTTTTTTTTTTTTTTGCTTCCAACTTTTTTCCCTATCCAAGATAAAGTGAACAGAACAAGTATGTAACGGACAAGCCAGTTGAAAAAACTTGAGTCCACTGCAGTGTGAAGTGTTAATGTGTTATTCTATTAGAGATTTGGATATTCTAAAACTCGCAACGCGGAATTCAAACAAGTGGCTAATTAATCCATGAAATTATCATACGAAGACAAGACTAAAATTGAAATGGGCGTGTATATGACATTTTCAGTATGTTTTTCATCGTGTAGGTAGATATTTCCAAAATTCAACTTTAGGTAGGTATTCTTTTCTTTTTAATAGAAACCTAAAGATATATATGAGATTTATGAGTCAATAAAAAAAATACAGTAAACTACTTAGAAAAAACAACCTTTTTTATAAATTTGGGCTTGGATGAGTTATAATCGATGGTCTATCGGAAATAGTTTTTTTACCTTCTTAAAATAAAAGTAAGATCTACGTACACACTACTCTTCTCGGATCCCAATTACAAGATTACTCGGGTTTGTTGTTATTTTTATTAGACTCGTTGGTATAACAAACAACTTTATCAACTGAGGAGCAATTGTTATTGTCGAAATTTAAACACTGAGGATTTTCTTGATTGTAGTGGAGCATTTGATTGGTGGAATAGGTGAAGAACGCTATGTCTTTTGGGAAAGATATTCACATGAAGTAGTGATCATCTGTTGGCACGAGACTACCATGAAGTATTAGCAATTCCCTAATCACCTAACCACCGCCCTTCCTAATAACTGCATTCTTTTTTGTTTATTTTCAAATCGGATAACAATTGAATTTATAAATGGTTTTAAGTATATATGATTTAACTTGATACTGAACGACAAATCAGATTGCAATTCAAATAAGTAATGGAAAAGTAAATGCTAACCAAAGGCGGAGCTAGGATTTGAAGTGTGTGGGTTCTAAATTTTAAAATAAAACACTGCTTTCAGCAGGAATCGAACCGCCATCTTTTCCAACGAACCCACAACCCTTACCGTTGAACCAAGACCCCTTTTGTTATTGGGTTTGGCAGTATATATTTATATAGATTTAGTAAATATTTCAATACAAATACAGGATTCCAAAAAAAGTCACTGGGTTCGCCCGAACCCGCACCCACTATTGTAGCTCTCCCCTTGATGCTAACCACACAAGTTGAACAGTCTTCGCCTTGGAAGGTTTGCCACCCTCGAGCCAAAAATACTTTTATTGATATAAGAACAGAAACAGCAAGAGAGTAACAAGAACTTGAAGAGAAAAATAATATATTGCTTTGGGATGCGTGTTACAATGTTCTTTACAAGTAATCACACCTCCTTTATATAGTAGGGGAATCCTACTTTAGGTACAATTCTATAAAAGCTAAAACTCTCCTTGTTTGCTGATTTGTCGGTTCCCTATTGATACGTGCCGAGATTCCTGTCGTGATATCTGACCGGTTATGGATATTTCGGCCTTCCGTTATTTCGGTATTCTATTGGTTATACCGACAATGTTTCCTCGAGCTTACTCGGGGTCAGGGTCGATTCCGGGATCATGGACTCAATATTCTCGAGGAAGGACGTTCTGACCTTGTGTTCTGGTTCGACGAGACTCGGGGTCGATCTTCAACCCCTCGCGTTCTGAGTTCGATCTGTCATGTAATAATCGAGCCCGATTTCGATCGTATACAGATAGTCCCCTCATTTTTCACCGAGTAAGCGACGAGAAACGATATGAGTTTTTGATTCTCTCCTCGATACTCCGTATCAGAAATGACAAAATAAACGAAACGCCTCATCAATCATGTCTTAATGGCATTAAATGTTCGTTAGTTGCTGGTCGGCCACTCCTGGCTTTGAACCGTCATTTGAAAATGATAAATACT